TTGTGCGCTGTCCAACGTGACGCACCAAGAAGGAAGCTCTTCGCCTGCGCGATGCTACTGCCCTAAGGCCCACGTGCACTCTAAACGGGAGGAAACAGATGCACCCATAATAGGGGACACTCTGCAAGATAACTGGTCTGTACGACTCAAAAATGTCAACGTCATGAGACACAAAGGGAAGATGAGGAACCATTCCAGGTTAAAAAAAATTATAAAGAGACATGACCACGAAAGCCAATGCATGATCCTAGGTGAGGGGAAAAGTTACAATGGAGGACATCACTGAATCTCAACAGTATACTAGGTCATAATGTGTTGGAGTTAATTTCCCGGATTTTATAATTGTCCTACGGCTTAGAGAAAATGCAATCAACAAATCACATGCTGATTCATGTAGGAGAGACTGGCATCAAAAGGAGATGGGAGAAATAAGCAGAAAGTGGGAAAATGTTAGCAATAAGGGGCTGACTGAAATTCTTTGCCCTATTCTAATTCTTCTGATGTTTGAAATTATTTAAAAAAATAAGTTAAAAAAATTTTTAAAGATGATTATATGATATCTGGCATTAAACATCTTATAAATTACTGGGAAAGACACATTCAAATAACCATAATGAAGAGCAGAAATATGGTCAAGTTTGGAAAACAACAATATTGTTTTCATCAGGAATTGTCAGAAGTGCATGCACAGAGAAAGGTGACCTGGGCCTTGAGGGATGGATTAGAAAAGTGGTTTATATTTACAGGTAAAAGTGGTTATAATGAATACCTGGTTTATCTAAGCATACGTTTATCAGAATATGGTAATCTTAACCAAAAAGAAAAAAAAAAAACAGAACACTTTGTGGAAGGAAAATGACTGAAGGCGGTTGTTGTCCAGGACTACACAGGCACCAGCGGATGCCACAGCGGTGCCCCCAGCCCTGCCCAGATCAGAGGCTTACACTCTCACTCTACTGCCTGTCAGCCTCGACCTGGATGAGGGCCTGATCAGCCGCACTTCCCACCCCTTGGTCCAGGGATGCTGGGACAAGTACAGACCTGTTTCCTAGGCCTCAGGAGCTCTCTGTTTCTTTTAACCCAAACTGGGAAAAGCCATGAATTTATCATGACAAATAAGGCCAGTAGTTGAAGCCAGGATCCTGAAACTAGTAACTTTCAAGGTCAGGCTAATTTCAAGGACTGAGGGATGAGAAAAGATATGAGGAAACAAACACCCCCAAAGTGGAGTCACCTGACCTCCAATGGACGGGGGAGGTGAGGCCACCCTGGGTGTGACCCAGGGACCAGGGAGGCGGCACACCCCCTCGCCTACAGCGGGCTCCCGAGCATGGCTGCTGGCCGGAGTCTGAGCCACAGGAGGTCAGCTCAGCACCTTCCCGTGGCTCCCTGCCCTGACTCCATGCCATATCCTCCTCCTTGAGGCTCAGAAAAGTTACCAAGAGGCTGGCTGACCCTTGGGTCCTCTCCTGTGAAAGGGCATTTCCAATGTGACCTTCCCCATCAGCACGAGAGTTACGGCCACTGTGCAAGCCTAGGATGATCAGGAAAGAATTTCAGGATCCCTTTGGTTCCTGGTGGATTCTCCTTGTAATTCGAGACATGCTCTGTTTCCACTGACCTCTGTCCGTCCCGTGTCCTACCTGACCTCTGTCCGTCCCGTGTCCTAAGCACGAAGCAGAGCAGGGAGGAGCAAACATGCGGCGCGCTGACAGCGGCCAGGACCCCTGTCCCCAAGTCCCCACTCAGAGGAGGTTCACAAACAAGTCTGGCCACGTGAGTGCTCAGCTGTAATCTCAGCAGCGGTCCTAGGTTCCATCCCTTTCCATGTCCTATAGCATCTAACACTTAAATACTTTGACTTGCTTTATATGAGTATATATTTACAATTGAAGTATATGATTTCTGAGTTAACAGAAACACCTTCCTCACTTCTGGAAATAATAATTCTACTTTGGTTGTTGCTCATTGTTCAGTCGCTCAGTCGGTTCTGACTCTTTGTGACTCTATGGACAGCAGCATGTCAGGCTTCCCTGTCCTTCACTGTCTTCAGGAGTTTGCCCAAACTCATGTCCATTGAGTCGATAATGTCATCCAACTGTATCATTCTCTGTCAACCTCTTCTCCTCCTGCCCTCAATCTTTCCCAGCATCAGGGTCTTTTCCAATAAGTTGATTCTTTACGTCAAGTGGCCAAAGTATTGGAGCTTCAGCATCAGCATCAGCCCTTCCAATGAATATTCAGGACTGATCTCCTTTAGGATGGACTGATTGGATCTCCCTGCAGTCCAAGGGACTCTCAAGAGTCTTCTCCAATACCACAGTTCAAAAGCATCAATTCTTTGGTGCTCAGCCTTCTTTATGGTCCAACTCTCACGTCCATACATGCCTACTGGAAAAAACCATAGCTTTAACTAGACAGACCTTTGTCAGCAAAGCAATGTCTCTGCTTTTTAATATGCTGCCTAGGTTTGTCATAGCTTTTTCTTCCAAGAAGCAAGCATCTTTTAATTTCATGGCTGCAGTCACCATCCACAGTGATTCTGGAGCCCATGAATATAAAGTCTGTCACTGTTTCCATTGTTTCCGTATCTATTTGTCATGAAGTGATAGACCAGATGCTATGATTTTAGTTTTCTGAATACTGAGTTTTAAGCCAGCTTTTTTTTTCACTCTCCTCTTTCACCTTCATCAAGAGGCTCTTTAGTTCTTCTTCACTTTCTGCCATAAGCGTGGTGTCATCTGTACATCTGAGGTTATTGATGTTTTTCCCGGCAATCTTGATTCCAGCTTGTGCTTCATCTGACCCGGCATTTCACATGATGTACTCTGCATAGAAGTTAAATAAGCAGGGTGACAATATATAGCCTTGATGTATCCTTTCCCAATTATGAACCAGTTTGTTGTTCCATGTCTGGTTCTAACTATTGCTTCTTGACCTGCATACAAGTTTCTCAGGAGGCAAGTAAGGTAGTCTGGTATTCTCATCTCTTTAAGAATTTTCCAGTTTGTTGTGATCTATACACTCAAAGGCTTTAGTGAAGTCAATGAAACAGAAGTAGATGTTTCTCTGGAATTATCTAGTTTTTTTTCTATGATCCAACAGATGTTGACAATTTGATCTCTGGTTCCTCTGCCTTTCCTAAAACAAGTTTGTACATCTGGAAGTTCTTGGTTCACATACTGTTGAAGCCTAGCTTGAAGGATGAGCATTACCTTGTTAGTATGTGAAAGGTGTACAATCGTGCAGTGCTTTTTGTGATTGGGATGAAAATTGATCTTTTCCCATCCTGTGGCCACTGCTGAGTTTTCCAAATTTGCTGGCATATTGAGTATAGTACTTTTACAACATCATCTTTTAGGATTTGAAATCACTCCTCTGGAATTCCATTACCTGCACTAGCTTTGTACACAGCCATGCTTCCTAAGGCCCACTTGACTTCATACTCCAGGATGTGTGGCTGTAGGTGAGTGATCAAACTATCACGGTTATCCAGGTCATTAAGACCATTTTGGTACAGTTCTTCTGTGTGTTCTTGCCACCTCTTAATACCTTCTGCTTTTGCTAGGTTCATACCGTTTCTGTCCTTTATTGTGCTCATCTTTGCATGAAATGTTCCCTTGGTATCTCTAACTTTCTTGATCAGATCTCCACTCTAATGGTAGATTTAACATTTTACTTGCCCCTAAAAAAGTATATTTACATTTACTGGAAAGATGAAGGAAAATAACAGAGCTTTGGCAAGAAAATTATACCAACTATTGACCACCAAAATAAAACATTTTCTGAGGATTAGGTTTTTACAGGTCAACCCCCTCTAAACCTTACTTGACCCAATTGTCACCAGACAGGCCAGTAACCAATCTGGAAGCAAGGGAAATGTAGAAAGAATGAGCAAACACCAGTAGTGAAGAATACTCTGCACAACTAACGTGTGACAAGTGTTGGGCCTGCTGTGAAACCCCCTGTATTTATAAGACTCCTCTGTGGCTCGGAACGTCCAAGTCAGTTTCTTCTGTCAATGAAACTGTTCCTGCTTTCAGAGTTCCTAACAATGGTTTAAAACAGCAACTAAAAACTGCCCACAAAACACTTGACTCTTTTTTTTGGCTTGTCTGCGCCTCGCCACATGTGGGATCTTAGCTCCCCAACCAGGGATTGAACCTGTGGCCCCTGCAATAGAAGTGCAGAGTCCTAACCACCGGAACACCAGGGAAGTCCCCAACCACTCCCTTTTAGGTGAAATCTGTGCCCCGCAGTCACTGAGAAACCACCCGCTCGGTGCTGAGAGCTCTGCTTCCCTTTCAGCAAGCCTCACAGTCAGCAGCTTCTCCTGGTGAGTGAGACCAAAGTTGAGATCTTTGTCAAGAACAGGGATTTGCTTGCTTTATTCACCTACACACTTAAGTCAAGTAAAGTGTATAATGGCTCACTTAAGGTCATTTTAGTCATGTCCAGCTCTTTGCGACTCCATGGACTACAGCACGCCAGGCTCCTTTGTCCTCCACTATCTCCCAGAGTTTGCTCAAATTCATATCCACTGAGTATTTAAGGTTATATGCTTTACCAAAATTTTAAGTCTCTTGATTCAAAACACATACTTGGATTAATAAGCAGCTTATCGTCACTGTTGGAGATGAAATATTAAAGTTTGAAATGTTAAGGAGTGTTAATAGACACAATGATTAAAACATGTAATCATAATGTCTCATTTTCCTAAACCAACATTCTGGAGCAGTGCTACTCCAAGGTCACCTAACTAATACCATCCGTGACAAGATCCAGAGTCTGTGCCAGGACGTCGAGAAAGTCTCAGAGACAGTGACTGAACCAGAGAGTATGCTCGGTGACTTGGCTCATCTGTACTCCGCTATCAGCTTAAAAGTTTCTGGACCACAGCCGTCTACCTGCTCCAGATTATGAAAGCACTCTCGGGAGGAAAATGCAGACACGCAGACGCAATCATGAGCTCTCACAAAACATTTACAGTAAGTAAATACCTGTTCCTGCAGGTCGTAGTCATAGCTGTCATGCAGCAGAAGACTGAGGACGTATCGGGTATAAATCATGGCATCAATGCCACATTTCTCTAGCTCTTGTCCCAGCCAGGTCTGCACGGGACCCAAAGCATGAAGAAGAGACATTTCAGAGACAGATACGGGGCCTGGGTAAGAGCTGGAGGAGCTTTCAGATGGTAAACCGTCCACAGCAACTGTACAGACAGGGCGCATGAACTTAGGTGGCTGACATCCTTAAAATGCGAAGCATTTTCTGCAGTGATGTTCTGTTGGTGTCTGGAGGGGATTTTCACTCCAGTAAAAAGGAGAGATGCTGGACATCTAGGGTGAGCATTTATTTCTGCTGGCAGTCAGCCATCTACAACTGAATTTCCCTCTGCAGGCATGACCAATGAATCATCAACATCCTGATATTAACATACATGTAGATACGATTTTCTACTTTAATTTCACATCGAGGCCAAATGTAAGTCTCCAGAAGAACCTACAAAAATAAGAGAGAAAAAAGGTAGCATTATGTATAGATATAAATTATTGATCTTTTGAACAAAAAAATCCAAGCGAACCATTCCCCTTTGACTCTGACCACTTGTGACACATTCCACTCTTTTAATAGCTTTTCCCACTGAATTAACCCTTTCAACATGTCAAACTAATCTAACGATGGCTTTATTAAGTCATAATATTCTTTATGCTAGAGCTCTGATTAATTTATGCCACTGGAAAATGAAAACTAAGAGTGATAGGTAAATCTCATTGGACCAGCTTTTATATGAATTTTAGCAGATAATCAGAGGGCTACCAAAAATGACTTTTAAAAAAATGTATGAACAGTTATTTCTAGTAAGAGCATCAAGCCAGAAAGACAGACACTCCTTACCAAAAATTTAAGACTCAGCTTTCTGCATTTTATCTAGAACTACATATTAGATGCTACATACATTAAATACAAACAAAATATGCTTAAATCCACCACAGGACGATGTCACTAGCTTAATGTACCACTAAGTTAATGTATTCTGGGCTTCCCAGGTGGCACAGTGGTAGAGAATCCACCTGCCAACACAGGAGACACGAGAGATGAGGGTTTGATCTATGGGCCAGGAAGATCCTCTAGAGCAGGAAATGATAATGCACTCCAGTATTCTTCCCTGGAAAATTCCATGGACAGAGGAGCCTAGCAGGCTACAGTCCATGGGGTCAGAAAGAGTTGGACACGACTGACTGTGCACACACAGTCATATGTCTTCTGCGACTTTCTAAAATCTTCTCTACCATACTAGCTTTTCTGAATTATAAAAACTAGATAAAGCAAAGATTTTCTATGTTTTTACTTGCTAAAATTTTCCAGCTGACTCTCAAAATTAAAACATCTTCCACAATTCTTTTAACACGTTTGGATCTCAGGATGCCAGGCGGATCATCAACTAAACAATACATTCAATTCAGGACACCACTTGAAGCAGGTGGACAAGTCAGTACTCATCCAACGAAGGTACCCCAAGACGATGCAGAGACTTGAGGCAGTGGCTCTAGGAAGTAGGTGAGAGAAGGTAAGGCAGCTGAAGATACAGGGAAAATGTACCAAAGAGGGGAACGCTGCCCAGAGGAAAACATCAGACACGGGCAAAGGGCTGCTCCTGCACCTTCAGCAGAGTGTAATTGGGGCATGCAGGCAAGGACCCAGCTGGTGCACAGGAAAGGATCATCACGGAGGGAAGGCGGAGACAGGCGCAGGGCTCAGCATGGCCGGGCACGCTGCTGGCTGCCGCCAGCCGGGGCTGGGAAACCTCACAGTTCAGGCCACGTCTGAGGGCTCAGGGGGTCTCGACTGTAACGGGGAGTCACCTGCCCTACAGGAAACACTGCTCTGGACTTGCCTAGTACATCTTAAAATTCAAGGCCCCACAGATCACACTGCTTCCAATTATTTTCACTAAGGCCCCAGAACACAGTTCAAGGAATTTACAGGAATGCAAAAATATCCACCGCCCAAGAAGATAAAATTTACATTTGGCACCTAATCAAAATTAGCAGACATGTGGGAATTCTCTGGCGGTCCAGAGGTTAGGGCTCTGCCCTCTCACTGCTGAGGGTCGAGTTTCAATCCCCGGTCAGGGAACCAAGATCCAACAAGCTGCACAGTGTGGCCAAGCAATAAAAAAAATCAGCAGGCATGCAGAGAAATGGACCACAAAGGGAGTGGAGATGAGGAGGAGAATTAACTGAATCCAATCCAGAATTGACACAACAGTTACAATAAGGAGGAAAAGACTTTAAAACAGAAGTTATGACTATATTCCCTAAGTCCAAAAAGATAAAAATCAAATATCTAAAGATAAACACTACAATGTTTGAGATTAAAAATATAGGCTGGAACTAATGGCAGATTAGACATTTGAGGAGAAAAGATTACTGAATCTTAAACCACACACATATACAAAAACTATATAAAATGAAATATGGAGAGGAAGAGAATTTTAAAAAATTAACAGTTTTAGCGAGCCGTGTGATAACTTTAAGAAAACTATATATTGGAAGAGAGAGTTGTTACATATTACAATTATATACTGGAAAACAGAGAAGGACAGAAAAAAAGTTTTTGAAGAAATAATGGCCAAAAATTTTCCAAATTTGATCAAAACCAAAACATGCAGACCCACAAAGTTCAATAAACTCTAAGCACAAGAAACACATAGACATCAACACATAATGAAACTATTCAAACAGTGATAAAAATCTTAGTGGTGGAGGGTGCAGAGCATATTAGGGAGAACAGAACAAAGATAAGAATGACATCAGATTGTTGGAAACAATGAAAATGAGAAGATAACGAGGCAGAAACTTTAAAGTACTGAAAACAACAACAAAAAAAGCTGTCAACTGAGAATTCTCAACAAAAGCGTATTTCAAAGTGAAGTTGAAAAATAAGACTTCTTCAGACATGAAAAAGATGAAAGACAGCATCACCAGCAATCCTGCCCTATGAGAAATGTTAAAGGAAGTCTTTCTGGCAGAAGGAAAAAGAACAGAACAAATGTGAATGCACACAAACGAACAAGAGCACCACAGACAGGAACTTAAAATTGTCTTGTTACTCAAATATCTTTAAAAGATATTTAAACATTATTAAGATATTATTAAGATATTTAAAACAGAGGAGGACTTCCCCAGTGGTCCAGCGGTTAAGCATCCGCCCGCCAGCGCAGGGGACACGGGTGTGATCCCTGGTCTGGGAAGATCCCACACGTCTTGGGACCACTAAGTCTATGCACAGAACTGAGTCTGTGCTCTAGAACCCATGCTCTGCAACAAGGAGCCAGCGCCCCGAAACCAGGGACTAGCCTCCACTCACTGCAACTAGAGAAAAGCCCACACAGTGATGCAGCCAAAAAGAAAAAAAAAAGGTAACTGAGGGACTTTTCTGGGAGTCCAGTGGTCAGGACTCCATGCTTCCATTGCTGGGGGCCCAGGTTCAATTCCTGGTTAGGGATATAGATAACGGGATGGTTAACAGAAACAAAGGTAAGGACACGTTGTGAGGCTTATAACATATGTGTAAGTAAAATGTATGACAGTAACGGCATAAAGACCAAGAGTACATCACATGAAATGGTATAATATCTCTTGAAGACAGACTGTGATAAGATAGCTGTTAACAACCATAATAGATTTAAATGGCATAAACAACCAATTAAAAGGCAGAGATGGTCAGATGGGATTTTAAAACAGCAAGACCCAACTATAAAAAAATATGTTAAAAATGCTAGATTAAGAGTAAAGACACAAATAAGTTACAAGTACAAGGGCGGGAAAAGACATACCATGCCAACACGAATGAAAAGGAAACCAGAGTGTTTACATTAATATCTGACACACTAGATCTCATAATGATTACCGTGTCAATTCATCAAAATATTTCTAATAGCAGAATTCCAAAATACACGAATAAAACTGACAGAACTACAAAGAGAAACAGACAAATCCATAAGTACGCTAGATTTCAGTATCCCTTTTCTCAGTCTCTGAAAGAAGCAGGAGACAGGAAATCAGGAAGGCCCTCTACAGAGGACTCAAGAAACATTACCAACCACCTTGACCTCAGTTCAGTTCAGTTCAGTTGCTCAGTCGTGTCTGACTCTTTGCGACCCCATGAACCAAGGCATGCCAGGCCTCCCTGTCCATCACCAACTCCTCCCGGAGTTCACCCAAACCCATGTCCATCAAGTTAGTGATGCCATCCAACCATCTCATCCTCTGTCGTCCCCTTCTCCTCCTGCCCTCAATCCTTCCCAGCATCAGGGTCTTTTCAAATGAGTCAGCTCTTCGCATCAGGTGGCCAAAGTATTGGAGTTTCAGCTTCAGTATCAGTCCTTCCAATGAACACCCGGGACTGATCTCCTTTAGGATGGACTAAGACAGGCTATATCTTGGACCACAGAAAAAGTTGCAACAAAAGGATTCAACTCATATAAAGTATATTCTCTGACCACATGGAATTAAATTACAAATTAATAATAGAAAGATGCCTGAAAAATTCCCCAAATATTTGAGAACTAAAGAACATATTTCTAAATAACCAATAGGGTAAACAAGAAATCAAAGGAGAAATTAGAAAGTATGTTAAATTGAATGAAAATAAAAACACAACGTATCAATATTTTTAGGTTGCCACTAACGCAGTATTTAGGGGAAGTATTTTTAGCACAAAGAGCTTATATCAGAAAAGGTCTCAAATTGATTATCTCAATTCTCATCTTAAGAAATTAGAAAAAGAAGAGCAAATGAAATCTAAACTAAGCAGACGAGAGAAATAAAAGATGGGAGCAGAAATAAAAGATGAGGGCAGAAACCAAAGAAACAGAAAATGGAAAAAGAACGAAATCAAAAGCTGGTTGTTTTAGACAACAAAATGGACCTTCAGCCAGACTGCTCAGGAAAGAGGGAAGACATAACTACCAATATTAAGAACGAGGGCGGTGAGGTCCCTGCAGACTCCACAGACGTAAGAAAGATAACAAGACGATGTGAGAAAAAAACTTCACACCAACAAATGAAATAAAATGAGTGCAGATGAAATGGACAAATTCCCTGAAAACACAAAGCACGAAAGCTCACCCAAGGAGAAACAGAATGAATAGCCCTGTACCTATTAAAGGAACTGGGTTTACGGTTTAAAACTCTCCCACAAACAAACTTCCAGGCCCAGCTGG